GTATCAAATCATACCAATTAGATCTCGGCATCGACTGCACAGCATTCAAAGACCCCAGGTTGGAGCAGACAATTCAGGGGATTAAGCGAGACCATAGCGAGCCGGAAAGACGTACCCGAACACCATTGACACGCCCATACCTCCTCCAGATACTGACCTACAAGAGGACCAATAACTACAACAATGTAGTATTACAGGTCGCATTTACACTAACATTTGCCGGGTTCCTCTGAGTAGGTGAATTCACGTACAAAGCCACCAATAGGAACCTCGGCACCTCATTCCAGAAGTGGTTTTTAACAAAGTAAAGCATCCGTATGCGCGGGGAAGGATCCTATATGGAACTAACACTTCCCTCATCTAAAACAGACCCCTTCCGGAAAGGTATAAAGCTTACCATTGCCGCCAGCGGCGACAGCGGATGCCCGGTAAATGCCATGAAGGACCTTCTTGAACTCGATACCCACAGGCACCGCCTCGCACCCCTACTCTGTGTCGGACACCAAGAACAACTACTATTTACTCGAGAATATGTCGTTTCAAAGCTACAACAGCTGGCCACATGAGCTGGCCTAGGACAAGGCGTGTGGAATGGGCATAGCTTCCACCGAGGAGCTGCAACCTGGGCGGCCGAGGTCGGCATCCCAGAATCAGATATTCAAACCCTTGGCCAGTGGCGTTCAGATGCCTACAAGGCTTATATTGAGTACTCACCAGAAGAACAAATCGCTCTCTCCCGCCGCTTCCAGGCCAACCAGCGCCAATAACACCCCGGAGGTCTAGCCTGCCCTGGTCCACCTGCCTCGAACTGGGGCACATCGGTGGCTACCATCCCCAACGGCAAGGGCAGCGAAAACACCACCAACGCCTCTGCCAGTGGAACTCAGCTTTTAGCAAACAGATGGACGGAATTACTGGGCATGTCTTTCCTTCTTTTATCTTTCCTTATTGCCTTTCTCTGTATCATTCTCTTGTTTCTCCTTGCTTGTCAGTATAGTAATAGATTTCATTGGCTTTGCGAAATTGGCTGTGGGATATCCCAGTGGGTGAACTGTTCGCTGCTGGAAAGTAGTGTGGTACAGTTCAGGTAGTGTTTGGAAAAGAGATGGTTTTGAAAATGTAGAAACTTGAAGTAGTTTGGGTTATGATAGTTGGCGGTATGGTATCATAAGTGGTTAGTTTTTTTTTTTTTTTTTACTAGAATATAGAATTGATGGATTGGAATTGATACAGATGAGGATAGAACTGTAAAACTTGAAAATCATTTCATGCCCGGTCGGATCTTTGTAAGGGGTATGATAATGTCCTGTTATTGGCTAAAGAAAAAAGCCTCATAATTACGGTATCGTAACGTTCACGATTTCAGTTCTTCGTGATTTTAGTGCTTAAACGTGCGATTCCGAAAACAAAATCGCGGAGGGACGACCCCCCCCTAAACTTTGTAATAACAGCACTCTAAATAACATACAAGTGAGGAAGATGGGTGTGGGATAAGTTGCTATAAAGGCTAATAATAATAATAAATTTTTTTTTTTTGTTGGGGGGGGGGGGAGTCGGTATATTTTAGGAATCTTGGGCCTGAGTCATTCAACTGTATATGAGTGGAGAGGGAATTACTGGCAACCTAGAGAACTTAAATTTTCTCAAAATCCTTTTTGCAAAGACCACTAGAATGCACTCTACGCCCCCCGTACACGATCGTGAGCGGCAAAGCGAGTTGGTCAGTCAGTCTGGCGGGTGCAAGTTTCGCCTTTCTCACCCAGCACGCCTCAACGGAAAACGTCGTTGCCATTTCGCGGCACGCCTCTCGCAAGTGAAGTATTCCAACACGGGAACTTCGCGGTTACACCATGACTTTCATTCCCCACCGCTAGATTTCATCATGGTCGCAGCTCTCCGGCTAGCTACTGCCTTTTCTGTTCTGGTCAGGGCTATTCGAGAGCAGAACCGGAGAGGAGGTTGCGTTCGTTTCGTGGGTCGGGGCGTTACTTTTGGAATTGACAACCGTAGTTGACGGATTCCCATCCGGTGCTCACATCCCCTATTTCGCGGAGCTCATGTTCAGGGTTTCGTTGGTTCTTCTCTGTATAGATAGGAAAACACCCTCCATCTTCTCAAAAAAATTCAAGGTATGATAGTCGTTTCAACAGATGGTTTGTTGTGTCGGCCGAGTGAGGAGCTGTGATGGGCTTCAAGGTTCGGTCATATGTGTTGTGTTGATGGGTGGTGGTGGAGCGCGCCTGGTAAGGATAGAATATTGGAACATGGCGCTAGGGGTGTCAGGTTGGCTGGGATAGTCCCGTCTTCCATTAAAGGTTTGGAGTAGTAATATTGTTGTCTGTTTCTTGTCTTGGATAGCTTTCAGGGTTGTTTTTTTTTTTGCACGAGTATGATTACTGCCGTGGGTTGCATTTGCTTTGGTTACCTAGTCTAGAGGCCTGCAGGGCGTGAGCAGTGGCAGTGATAGGGGTTTCACCGGTATTCCTAGAGCATCTTGCTAGTTGAGGTAGTTTCAATTGATTGACCCGAGAACATATTCAGTTCCTAGCAAGGTAGGTGAAATGTAGTGGCAAAAGAGGGGAGATTGGGGAGGGGGAAAGAGGGTAGACGTATCTCTCGTTTGAAAAAATACCGTATGAAAGGGTCATTCCTGGACAATATCCTTACAACTGGAAGGTATCGTACAGCAGCGGAAGCAAGTCAAGTGCCATGAGTGGATTCCATTTCCGTCGGGGCCTCAGGAACTTTAGGTGACTGACCGTTGGTTTAGTTTGACAAGAATCTGCGGGGAGATCTTGCCAGTGTTTCGGAATGTGAAGTTGATCATTGGTCATGAATTGTAACCGTGGGGCCATGACGAATTCTCATAGATTCATTTCCGTAGTATATATTCACCCCTAACCTACACTCACCCACCGGGAACCCTCCCCCCCGAAAATACCAGATGTATGATACTAGAAGTCCCCATTTGAGTGGAAAGGCACTCTAAGGATTATTTTTTTCTCGTAGTGTAAGATTTTTTTTGTTATAGTGCAAAGTGTGGACCGAGATGGATTTTTGAATTTGTTGAGTTCAACCCCTGTCCACTATAAACTGCAATCACAACTTGCTCACTTGCTTGCAACTATGCATGGAAAAGTAATAAATTGACAGGTATATCGGAAATTGTTATATAGAGTTGGTAAAGAGTTAATGCAGAAGAAGCATTATAAAGAGACAGGTATCATAAACTGTTTCAATTTTCTGAATAGAAAGTTTTGGGGATTTCTATTATAGCATTGTGTTAGCCTCTATGAAGTAACAAATAAGCTAGTAAACTACTAGAAGACTTAAGAAATACAATACTTAACTAAATGTAATTCAAATGATAAAGTTTTCAGCTTTATTCTGATGAGAGTAAAAGGATTCTCAGTAATTATTCTACTGTTATTAGTTATTATGAGCTTGATAATTGGTAGTACTGCTTTATAATTGCTAGTTTAAGAATAATACTATATAAAGGAACTTATATACTTATATTAAAGTTCCTGATATGAATACCAAACTACAACTATCAACTCAGAAGAACAGACTGACAAATTTCATACATTCTCATTTTCCTATTATGAACCTTATTACTCCTTCTACAGCTTATTTAACTTCCCTCCTATTCTCAATTGTCTCATGATATAAAGGTAGATAATCAACTCTTATTTCTACTGTTTATTTACAATCTACTATTACAAATTTAACTGAAATCTTTCTAGCTCTGAGTTCCATTACAAGAGACTGGAGTATCATTATGTTTACCAACTCTGATGGACTTGAAGAGACCAATGAAGCTATGACAAATCCTGAGTTTAAACATGACTTAGTAGTAAGGATCATGGAGCATGCTGATATGTTTATAATCTTAAGACAGCATCCTACTGACACTGACAAAAAGGGATCTTATGGGATGGGACAATAGTTACTGACATCTGACTGTTCCTTTTCATGCTGTCGCTACAATATTTGCACCTTGGCTGATAAATTGGCTTAGCATAATTCACTTTAATCGAACTATACAGCATTGGCATACTGTCTACTCACTCCAATTTTCACAGTGACCAAACCCACACCCCACCCCACCCATTTCTCATGAGTGTAGAGAAGTTCAGGCTTTCAGAATACCTGACTACCAGTACTTCTACTATGTTCATATCCAAGTATGACAGGTAAAGAATGGTAGCTAAGTACAAACTTGCCGATTGTACCAGCAAGGATATTGCCATGCTAGGGAATAAGAAACTTTAAGTTTCTTGGATAAAAGTTCCCAATAGCTGCAGGTCGAATCTTAGCAGTTAATACTATAGGTTCAGTTTTGATCACTGTATTTTACTATTTATTACTGATATGGAAGGCGCTTTTGCAGAACTTTTACATCTCTTGGAGAAAGAGAAATCCTTTTTACTTTCTCTTAACACTACTAATGCAGGAAAGCTCAATAACAGAGTGTATCATTGAATGTTAGTGTTATTATAGTATTATACTCTCTCTTCTTTATTCACCAAGTCTGCAATAGCACCCGGACGTGATTTTTTTCTTTCCCCCTTTTCTCTTCACTTAACAGTCGTTCAACCACTCATTGGACTCAACATGCCTCAGGATAGGAGATGATTTCTTGCAAAGCGTGCAGCAGATAATTCACTCATAAGCAGATCACTTGTTTACTCGTGTAGTAAAATCTGATCTGGAATTATTGGGATATTACTTGCTTCTGATGTGTTTATGTATCTATTGATGCAGCCTTATTTTCTTCACCTAAGTGTTTAGTTTGTTTAAAATTTCCCCTTTCTTTCCCCCTTTTGGACTTCAGTATTCATTACATGTAAATTTTCTAATGATTGTCATGCTCACACTTGCCTCTCCCGCATAGGCCAGGAACCAGTTAGTCCCAGAAGTACTTTCTTGCGTTTATTTATGGTCAGAACTCAAGATCATAGGTGCAAAATTTACTAAAGCTTTTACAGCAAAGGCACTTTTTGTTTCATAGCTATGGTTTGCAGCAGCCGGTATTTTTATAGAAGAAGATATGAACAAATCCCCTATTTATTTACTTTGAAAGGCGAAAATGTAAAACAAAAAAAAAAACAGCAAAATACCCTGGTAGTTAACGAGTAACCTGTTCATACCCTAACATATAAATTTGGAAGGTATTCTGCTGAGACTTTATTTGCTTCAGGTCGGTCTGTCTTACCTGTTAAAACCGGATTAGCATTTCTGCATAAACACCTGAAACGCTATAATCTGGACCTACCGTACTATCATCACATTTGGCCCAAGTCTTGTCGGGCTGTTTGATGAAGGCAATATAGTGACCACACTTGAGCTCGCTGCCCTTATGGGAGATTATACCTGTGAGCTGATAGGTGACGTTTTTGTCACCTTCTTCCAGGACTAGTTTCTCCTCCACCTTTACAGGATTCATAATCTTATTGGACACACCCGAGTTCCCAATGCTATATCTTGAAATAGTGATAATAAGAAATTTAGGAAGTTTCCTAATCTCTGTCTTCTTGGAAAAACATTTCGATTTATCCGAAAGGTTTGCCTTATGGCCGCAATTGTCGCAGGAGGCCTCGACATCCTCCCCCGAAAAATTATCTGTGAAGCAGGCTTTAAGGTTTATTGTAGCCTTCGGGTTTACTTTTGGTGTCAACTGAAGGCTCAGCTGGTGCTCGGGTGTAACTGATTGATTTTTGCAGATGCGGCAAGTAAGAATAGAATCGTACTTTGCACCGAATAAACGGTCAAAGTAATTCTCCTCTGAATTTGTTTCTTGCGCACTGACAGTGGTGTTAGATCTAATAATAGCAACTATTGGTGTGGGGAATGAATACCTATTGAGTTGGTCCATTCCTTTGTTGAGTAAAGCAAGCAGGTATTCGGATGTATCTTCTTGATTGCCTTCAAGTCCGAATTGATAAGGGAGAACTTAGTTGAGAAGTCAGCATTCTTCTTTATTACGGCCTGCGTATACAGCAATTGTACCCTTGCAAAGCTGAGCCACTAGTGATATACATGTGTTCTCGTTCTGATCCATTCCGGCAGAAGTGAAATGGTTCTGGAAGAATTTTCCAAGCGCACAGGAAACACAATTAGGACCACAGCGACCTTGAACAAATTAGACATTCCTGAAACTGGTAATATGAGAATTGGGTACCTACAACTCTCCTCTATATGCATCTCTATATGCCCGATCATCTCTTGTACACAAACTTCACTGGATGCGAGTAATTGTAGTACGGAATTCCTATAGCAAAAAGCCGAGCGATTTTGTATGCCTTTGACCCGCTGTTTATCCGGGTACTCCCCTGAGTATCGTTCAGACAGAGCTTCTGTTTTTCTGTCCGGGTTGGATGTGCCCTGGATGAATGATTAGTGAGTGGAGCTATTAAGTTTTGAATAAGTTGAAGAGTTAAGAACCGAAACAACTGTCTTCCCAGATGTATTAGCAATCGAGCCCGTACTGAGCTTCAAGTTTTTGAATTGGCTCTTAGAAGTGGAATCCCGCTCCACAATTGTCATTCCCTATGATACCAACAGTTACAAGATAAGTAATAGGCTAAGAAGCTCATACGAGTAATACAACTCAAGATACTTACCGGCGCCGTGGCCCCATCAGGGAGAAGGACGGTTGACCCTGTGGATTGCCCACTGGGAACACCCGACTCGGGCAAATGTGGAACATCTTTGAGTCCATTTTTCTTAATAACTTTCTTTTGGGAGCCTGGAACTGGTTTCGAGGTAGCTCCCCCATTGGCCTTTGACTTTGTTGAAGTTGTGTTGGCAAGTTCCTTATTTGGCTTATTTTTCTTGTCCTTTGGTGGAATGGTAGATTTTCCTGGTTGGGGCAACTTTATCTATTATATGTTAGAACTTAATTGGCTATCGAAAGCTTTTATAAAAGTAGACTTTACCTTTCTCGCAGGAGTCTCGAGTGTAGTCTTCCCGACAGAGACCTCTCCTACAACCTTCCGCTCGGAGACGGGCTGAGGTTGCTCCAGAAGCTCGTCTCCACCAAGATCCCGAGAATTGACATTGTTGGTGGAACCTTTTCTTCTGACCCTCTTGATAGCTTTGCCTTCCGCAGAGGCTAAACTTCTTTTCCTACCCATTTCCCTGCCAAAATATCCAAGACTAAGAACTGTTTGACACTCTGCAAGAGTGCCCGAGATGGTTTGTGTTTTAACGAATGGTATGGGCTGTGAAAGTAGAGTGTGGAGAGGAGATAAAGTATGGGAGATTAGTGCGAGCTGAGACGCATGCTGAGTTTTCGAATTGGAAGCGGAGGCAGTGGGAAATGAGAGCGTGGATGGGTGGCATCTAGGTCCTTTCTCCCGTAGGATAGGCTTCGGGCAAGACGGGCGAGCCATTGTTGTAATTAAAAACCTAATACTTATAAAGCTCAGAGGCTTAATTTAACCCCAGCTTTATAGTCGGTGGAACGAAACCACTTTTAAGAGGCCTTCTTGTAGCCCGCAGTTCTCAATAGTGTAGGATGTTGCGGAGGCGGTCTCGGGCCCTAGGGGTTGATAGTACTTTTGTGCACCGTCCGGGTAAAGTTCAGGTTTGCTTGTGAAGCCGATGAAAAAATTGGATCCGGTATTACCTTATGGCGGTTGGTGAGGTGTATGTGAGGACAACTATTCCGCCAGTTGGAGGGGGGAGAAGATGGCAACTACCAGTCCGGACAGGGATTTGTCCAGCGGTTTATGGGAATTCGTCTTCAACCTACAGCAGAACCGTCATCCAAATCTGCTTGATGAAGTTCACACAACTCAGAACAAAAAATGAAAAATGAGAGAGAAACTTCCTTCTTCTGAAAGAGAATCTCTATGAAATCCCGAGCTTTGTTGAGCTTGTAGATGAGGAACAAAAAAGTTTGGTATATATATATTTTTGAGGGAGAGAATCTCAAACTATGATAGTTCTTAAGGCTTCAGATTCTCCGAGCTAATTGACACGGTACCGACGACGCTGGTGTCGCAATCAACGCAGTAAGAGCGCAAATGATGGTAAGCTCACCAAATCTCGCCGAGATATCGGGTAAGTATTTCTCATACCGCGAACAAGTATAAGGAATGCGGCGACTCCTGGTTTCGTTGAGTACAGGTTGCGATAGATGTGGAAAGATGGCAAGTTCTGAACTCCTGAGATTGCTGGCTTTTTTTCCGTAAATTTTCCGCCACGCAGAGCCCCATTTTATCCTTAGATAAGCTTCAAGGATGCGCCAGCAAGTCGGAAGAACTCCAGTGAATACCGATACCGTTAATAAATAATCAAGCGCGGACCCACCATTGTTCGCATGCTTTTACTCGAATTCATTCTTATGTGTGTCATGCTATCCTTAATGACAAGATTATTTCACTTGCAGGATCTGCCATATCCGTGAATTTGTATTACCTCTTAAGCTTCCGGAAAAGCAGTGTCAATAAACTTCTGCCTTCCGCAACATTTTTCTCGGAAGCGGATACTGATACTGGACTCTATCTGAACATGATTTGAGGCCGTTTTTCTCTCTTCTGCTTGCAATTGTTCATTCTGGTTCGCTGTTATACGTATACCCAGTATGACCCTGACTTCTAATAATTAGACTCCTGAATTCACAAATTATAGGATCAGTTATCGTCATTCGCGCAGCAGAAAAAAAGTAAGAAGACAACACGATGGATAGAGGGCTGGATGGATGCCGACAATACGGCGGGTCTATCGGCTATTTATAAACACATAAGTGGGGCCTGTCATCAACTGGGTACTTGATCGCAATCTGCTATCGATAAGAAGAACAAAGAACATCTTCCAAGAACAAAGAACCACAAAATCTGATCTGTCAGTTACGGTACGAGCCTGATATCCAAAGAGTTTGTAGGTAATATATGAATACAGCGTATATGAGCTGAAAGAAATACTCATACCAATACCCCAGATTTCAATAGTGATAGTAGATAAACCGTACAGCTTAAACCCGCAGTTTCGTTTACAGTACTCACATTTTGGTTCAATCAATAAACTAAATTTCCTGCAACCGGTATTCTATTTCTAGTTTCTAACTTATTATTTACTTTCCTGGTTGTAGCTGCCTACAAATTGCCATTAACTGTGCCTATACCTCTTCTACTTTTCCAACATAATACTAAAATACTTATTTAGAAAGCAGTCAAGACTCTAGTGTACTTGATTAAGTGATAGGCTAGTTGTTAAGTACGGTAAAGGTCTCATATACTATGTATGTTTTCGAAAATCTCCTCAAATGCTACAGTGCTCTCAGATTCTATATTATAATTATATTATGTAAGTTTTTCTGATAATCAATTTTAAAATTTTAACTATAAAGGTTTTAAATTTCACACAAGTTACATGAAATATCCCGTAAATCCTACAGTATTCTCAGACACCATAATAATATCACAGTATCATACAAAGTACTTAAAAATTGTATCAGAGAGTAATTATTGTAATGCCTGCTTTTAATTAGGTTAAGGGGTTATTAATATCAATAAAATATTTTTAAATATTAAATGTTCAATTTGTATCTACATAAAGTTTTTTTTTAAATCAGATGTATTTGATTTTCTATTTTGTTTAATATGTAAGCTAAAAAGAAAGAGAAGAAAATATACTAGATTTGCTAATGTACATATATGACCAACTCTTCTGTATAAGCCATAATCTTTATATATAGTATTTACATACTACTCTGATCAAGTATGTATTACTTTATTGCATATGCCTCTATAATCCATATAGTATACTGCTAATACCTTCAATTAGTATTTTTGATATACTTGTCAGTATTAAAGGAGCCTTCTGTTAACTTATATTTTCTACAGTTATATCAAATATCATAATTTAGATTTATGGTGAAAATTTCAGGAAAAATATTACCAGTTAGGAGGATTAAGCTACTGCTATTTAAAATAATAATATCGACACTGGCATTCCTAACCCCTTAATCTAACAAAAAAATGATATTACAAAAATGTATTGTTCAAGCAATTCAAAAACATAACCAGGCTGAAAAATAGTATTATGTGTGGCTGTGCAGGTTTTCATGCCAAGATGTTCCCTCTAGGGTACAATACTACCCATGAATACAGGGTTTGCAGTATAGGATTTTAATTTTCTAAATTTACCAAGATAATATAATATATTATTATTATAATTATATCATATAACAATACCTATTATATGGCAAAACAAATATCTCCTACTCAACCTCTGAGTTAATCATATTGCTAACCCACCTATGGTTCTTATATTTGTGCTGCATAGCTGTTTGAAATTCTGTAGAGCCATATGTAACTTCTTGATAATAGGTATTCATAATCCTTCTGCTCTCTGTGAAAATTTCCATATTAAATTATTGGAGATGGATTCTAATTCTTCCAGAATAAGATATCTCAGAGCTTTAATACTATAGCTATAGTGACATCTAGTATATTGCTTAGCTGTACACCACATATACTAAATAAAATTAGGTTCACAGTGGAATTTAAGATAGAAGAGAACAAGGTAGTTATGTTTCTCAACTTCCTCTTGAAGTTGATATTTTTGATTTTTAAAATCAGGTTGGTCAGCTATGATTGTACAAGCACAATATTGACTACCTAAAAGACAACTTCTTTTATATTTATTAGTTCCAGGCTTTTTGCATTAAAGCTGTAAACCACTATGCCATAGACCTCTTTCTTTTAAAACAAATTTTAGTCCTTTTAGTTCTCCATTCTCCAGAACCATACTTTGAATTTATCCTGTAAGTTCATTGAACTCAGGACAAAGTTTAGCCTGTGTACTTCTAAGACAAAGACTCATACTCTTTACTAGTAGAGTATCTGAAGTGAATGCAGAATGGTGTAATGATCCCTCCTTGGATGGTTAGGTCTTGGTGACGGGGAACGATACTTCTCTTTTATTCTTCTCCTCTTCTTTGTCTTACGATAGCGTTAGGCCTTTGCCTACGTTATCGATAGTCCAAGACCTCTGTCTGCTATCAGGAAGCCCTATCGTAAGCTTTCTCTAACTCTTCTTCATAAAGAACTTTCCTTGGCATAACGATAACATTGCAATAAAGATAAAGATCATAAAGGTGTTTTATATTCATTGACGTAATAAGTAGGAAAAGTACTTAGAATTCAATCTAATTTTATTTAAACTCATACCGCCAACACTGGCATATGACGAGCCCCCGCCGGCACAGGGATACCGCTAACCGGTATACCACTAATCCTAAGCTAACTAGGTCTACAGCCCCGCACCTGCCATCCTCGAGTCATGCCCGCACGAGAACTAATTATAAGACCATTAAACAACCCAGTGCCCCCCCGAGTCCAAGTCCGTAGCCCTTCTGGTATGAAGCCAACCAGCACTAAGTGTAGCCGAAGCCGAGCAAAAGACCAACCCGACCAGGTTCCTTGTCCAACAATCATAAAATCACTACTACCCGGTCCAAATACCATCCTGCGAAACCTCTACCATAGTAGAAAACCAAACAAACACACAAACTAACCCTACAGGCGACACAATGGCAGGAAGGAGGCAACTCACATGTTAACCTCTTGCACCCGCATGCCAGGCCATCGACCCTATGAACCTACTTTGCTGGTTGCCTCCGAAGAGGGTACCGGTGGGGAGGACTTGTACCTGCTGCCTGTCCCCCAAACAAAACAACAAAAATAAAAGAAATACATAGAGGTAGTAACAGACCAAGAAGGTCAGTGGGGCCTATCTCTCACCCATGATGCCATGCCTCCTCCTGCTAAGACCCGTAGTTCAACCAAAGAAACCAAACAAATCCCACAAAGCCCAGCACGTAAGACCCAAACAAGTCCAACCAGATGGTCGCAACCCACTATCCGCACAGGTGGCCATTAGTCAGCCGGTCCATCAGGGAGCTTTACAGCACTCAGCAGCTTCGCCTAACAGCCCAAGCCAGACTGGAAACACTTAATTAGACCTCGTCCAACCTGACGCAGGCCCAACTGGTGCTCGCAGGTGCCTCTCTCCCCCCAGTCAGCCCCCCTCAAGCCCCTCACACCAGGCGCCACAGAGCCCATCCAGTCCCCTCAGCCTCTCAGACAGATCCACCATCCGACAGCCACAGGACGGCATATACCTAGCCCCATCAAGCAGCCACTGGTCTTGGCCACTCAACAGAGCCCTAACTCCCGGTACCTTGTAGCTGAGGGGGCCTACCAGCCTTAGCCAGGAGTTACAAAGGAGGCAGCACCAACACCTGAAGGCACCTGCACCAGCTACACCATCCAACTCAGTCGAACCGAAGTCCAACTAAGCTGGGAAAATGTCAGCAGAACCAGCCAAAGCCAGCCCCACAGGTCCAGCAATAAGCACAGACCGAATTAATGGGCAAGAGGCACCCCCAACTGACGTGACATGAAGGGGGAGGGTGAACGAACAGGAGTAGACAAATAGAAGGTAGGCCCCACTTGCAATGGGTGAAGCCGCCAACTACAATCCACAACTGAACCACCCAACCACACAGACAACGCGAGTGTCTGGCGGCCAATCGTCCCACACTATCCCAGGCAGTAATGAACACCACACCAGGGGGTAAGAGTTTTCAGAGTCAAAGCCATCCCTACCGAGGCAAGGAGGAGACACCTGACTGAACCCCTGCAAATGCTACAAGGACAAAAACTCCAAGGGAATAGTGATAAACAACATCATAGGATTCCAACTGTAGAAACATAATGTAATGAGGAGGGGCTGGGCAGGTACTACCCTGCTATCTGAGGAGTGATGTGGCTGGTATGACGGTTGAGGACACAGGATGGTCATCAAGCGAACCCGCGGTCGTTTTGTATTGTGAAAACTAAGGACTCCGTTAAAACCCAACTAGAACATGAGCTGGCCCAGAGAACAACACTGGTGATCCCCCCAAACACAAAGTTCAATCCCCCCAAATGAACACAAAACCTGTGAGTAGACGATAGATAGGAAACCGAAGACATTTTACCAAAAGGGGCTCGTAAGCGACTGTGATGAATAGCTCGAAGTGCCAGTATGTTAGGGGGAGACAACTTGATAGACTTCAAAGTTGCCTAGGCCAATCGAGATTTGTTTCTGTAGACGAAGATTGTCTAGGAAGGCTCGGACTTTGCTCCTTTCGTTTATGACTACTAGGAGCGAAGTAAAATAGGTAA